CTGGAGCTCAGCTGCCTGGGTCTACCTGGGCCTCTGCTAGCTGGGTGAGTGTGAGCAGGTTTCTTAGCCTTCATTGGCATAGACACTGAGTGAGGATGATGGTAATAACAGTGCCACATTGTAAGATAATTAAAAGTTAATAAGGGTAGTGCAGTTAGAATGGTGTCTGGCATGCAGTCAGCAAATGCCGTTAGAAGGAGTTTGGTTTCCAAAAAATAAAGCAGCAGCAAGGTGAAGATGACAGAGGATGGAGATGTAGCCTGGAACAGGAGGGATGGGGCTGGTGGAAGTGAACGGTGGGCGTGCTCAGCTCCTGGGACTGTTCCCACCTCCAGCAGGAAGCCCACCAGGCTTTCTTCTCACCTACCATCCAATAGACCCCTCTGGTGTCTGGATTTGGCTTCTTTCCATAACCTAATTTCTTCCACTTCTTGATCATCTACTACATGCCTGCCCATCATCATAGTAGGTGTCCTACTTTGAGTCCCTCATTTAAACTTTATGTAAATTCAATGACTTGTTGCAGATGAGGGCACTGGGCTCAGAAAATTCATCTAAAGCCACAGATTGAGAAGTTGTAGAAGTAGGAATAGAACCGAGGTCCTCTTGATTGGAAAGCCCTTGTTCTCACTACACAGTTTCCAGACTACTCTCCTGTCCCTTCCACGGGGAGACAGCAGGGTGCTTTTTTGTCCAGCTTTTGTGTACTTCCTGCTGATCATGCAGAGTTCTGATCCTGTCTTGACAAGTGCTTGGTCCTTTTTTTTGCTGTTTTGGAGGCTCCAGAGAAACCAACCTCATCCCTTATTTCCCATCCCTGGATACAAGGGATGAAAAGATACTTGGGAAAAGAATTAAAAGTTTCTCTACAGGGGATGGGAAGGTGGCTCAATGGTAGAGCACTTGCCTTGCATGCCTGAGGCCCTGGGTTCGATTCCTCAGCACCACATAAGCAAAAAGAAAAAAGCTGGAAGTGGCGCTGTGGCTCAAGTGGTAGAGCACTAGCCTTGAGCTGAAGAGCTGAGGGACAGCGCCCAGGGCAGAGTTCAGGCCCTGAGACTGGACCCCCCCCCCCAAAAAAAAAAGTTTCTGTACAATAACAAGTCAGAATAGCAAAACTAGCAAACTAGTTGATGAGTCTTTACTGTGTACTGGGTGCTTTTCTGACCATTTTATGTTTAGTGAGATAACTTACTCTTCAAAGTAGCCTTAGTCAATTTTTTTTTTTTGTGCTGATACTGTGTCTTGAACTCAAGACTTGAGGCTGTGCCTTAGCTTTTTCACTAAAGGCTTGTGCTCTACCTCTTGAGCCACTGCTCCACTTCTAGTTTTTGGCAGTTAGTTGACTTTCTGCCCTGGCTGGCTTTGAACTGTGATTCTCAGATCTCAGCCTCCTGAGTAGCTAAGATTATAGACGTGAGCCACCTGTGCCTGGCTGAGTCTAATTTTATAGACTGGAAAGCTTTCAAGTCCTAGAATTTGCCTAAGTTCGCATCATGAGCAAAAGGTAGAGCCAAGCTTTGAACCCAGGAACTCTGACTCCAGAGTCTACTCCCTAGCCCACTGTACCATGTACAGGCTCTTTGACAAACTGGATCCATATCGTGGTCTGATGCACAGACCCAGGAACATCACCAAATCCAGTTTCCCAGTCTGTGAACCACCATACCTCTTGTTTGCAGCTTGCTCAGATCCTGCCTCATTGACAGACGGTGCCCTACATATCTTGTGGCACCTTGTTTTGCCTCTCACTGGAGTATTTCTTCCCCACCAGACTGCTCGATCCTTGAGAGCAGAACCTGGATCTCAGCCATTCTGATGGCCGCAGCACCTGGCAAAGCACCTGGCGTATAGAAAGTACCTAGCCAAAGGGTGTGGTTGTTGAACAAAGACATCCTGCCACAAATCCTTTTCTAAGTGAGGTGCTCTTTTATGATTATTTTTAACGGAGAATACTAACTCACTAGCATAGCTTGATGAGCATGGGGAATCCCCAGATGAGGGAGCTTAGGAACTCCTGGGGCCTTCCGTTGTTTGCTGTGGCTAAGTGGAATTTCATATCAGGGTACTTGGAGAACACAGGTTTGTTAGGATCTCTCAACTATACATGTGTGTGTGCGTGTGTGTGTGCGCGCGCGCACACACACACTAGATATGAGCCCTTTGATTTCTCTTTTTGCTTCACCTTCAGACTTCTGCCTTTGACCTTCCAACTCTTCAAAGGTATCACAAAGGATGATGGGCACTGAGAGCCATGTTATCTTTTTTACTTTCCCCAGTCAACTACTTTTCTGGGACATTTTTTTTTTCCCTTTCTAATACTGAGGTCCAGAAGGTAAAGATCACTATAGCTAAACCTGTTCACCTCAGGAAACATTTTACTATAGTTATCTTATTCACGTTGCTTAGGGCTTTGAAATAGAGTAGAACAGAAGGGGAAACTGAGATGTAGGGCAAGCATGGAGTCTCCCCAGTCCTTTAGTCTCTGAAGAATGCAGATTGAGTGGCCTGGCCTTCGAGCATTTGCTTGTCGCCAGAAGAGATCACCTGGAAAGAAGCCTTACACTTAAGCTTTGAAGGCTCTCAGACTCTGCCTGTACCCTACCCTGTGAATGCTTTCCCATCATCCCTGTCTTCCTGTTCCCGCTGTCAGAGACCTGTAACCCCAAATCTCCCTCCACAGGCTCTATCCTAGCCCACATGCCACCTGCCACCAAATGGGCATAGTAAATCCATCACCTCCCTCCCCTTCTTCATGCTGCCTACAGTCTAACATGGACAGGACCCTGGGCCCACCCACTCCTCCAGTATCACCTAAGGCAAACAGTATAGACAGGAAAAATGGGTGAGATCTGTGAGTGCTGGAGAAAGAAGAGAAAGCAAAGAAGCCTTCCCCCATGCTGCCTGTGGCTGAATCACTGGAATAGCTCACTGATGTCTTGGGGAGGGGGAAGGGGTCATTCTCCATTACTATAAATTTGGTCTGGTTCTCCCAGGCTCCACCTGGAACAGTGCATGTCACTTCTAGTCATTTCCTACTTATAGTCTCTAAAGGATTTTCAGTTGGGAAGAAGGAGCAAACTGGGCCTCAACTGTAATGGAGAGGGTGGGGGAGGCTCCTGTGACCCACCTTGGCAATGTCTTCCAACTTCTGAAAGAATAATGATCCAGTAAAAGCACTGCATACATGTGCTCCATTAGCAAGGGGTCTGGAAGCTGCCTCCTCAGCATTCAGGCTCTCTGGGCTGGACAGCTGTCTCGCCCTGCCTAGAAGACCCGGGGAAGCCAAGCCAAGAGAACTCAGGCCTGTGCCTGCATCGCTGAGAGCTGGAGAGCTGAAGGATGGAGTCAGAGAGTTGAGTTCTGGTGGGGGTCAGGAGCTGGGGCTTGTTGAGTGGGGAAGCAAGTGGCCCCCACGACAGACTCAGACTGAGGCAAGATGCAGTTCTGGAATTCTCCCATGGATGTAGTTTTCAGAGGAGTGGTCTGAGGACCTAATTGGCTTTGGTCTGTGCTCTGGGTTTGGTGGAGATGGGGGTTAAGGACAGAAGCGGAAGAGAGCTATGTGGCATCTTGCCAGTGAGGGGATTGAAACCAGGAATGCCACAGTTTTGGCATGGATGGCATAGGTCATTGGTTTAAAGCCCTTCTTGTGATGGCCAGCTGGTAGCACAGCTGCTCAGAGCCCAGCCCATGAACTGGACTGGTCTTGGTTGTGCTTCTGGTGGTACGGTGTGATCACAGATCACTGAGCCAACTGCTGAGGATGACTGAGTAGAAAGAAGGCAACAGGGAAACATATAATCGCGTCTCCTAGGGGACGTTTCTGACTGCAGACCCTCAGTCTAGAGCAGAGTGTTCTCTTCCTGTTTCAAAGACTTCTAGTCTCAACCTGTCTGCAGTCTAGATATGATTCTGCCCTCATTGTGCAGACTGAGCATGGAGAGATTATATAATTTCCTGAATTCAAGTAGTACCTGCTAGGCCTCAGGGGAGGTTCCGTGGTGACGGCCCCTCTCTGTCCCTCTAGTGGGGCTGTCTATGGGAGGGTATGGATAGGCTGAAGGTGGCTCAGTCTGAGGACTGCTGGATGGACAGGCAGCACATGAAATAGACGGGGATGAAGGAGAGGTCAGGCCGGCCTTGGGTGTGGTCCTCTGGGTCCAGGCAATGGAAACCCCTGGAGGGGCAGAGGTGAGCTGGTTGTGCATCCTGCATGCACATGGATGCCCCATCCTTCTTTGCCAGAGGAAGTGGGGCATGCCTGAACTCATCTACTTATGGTATTGAGCCATTAAAATATGAACTAGAGGAAAGGAAACGAAGGGCATGGTGTCTCCTTTCTGGAGAAACTGTCTGTTAGTAGAACCACCTATGAACCATGAGTCATTTCGAGCTCTGGTTCATTGTGGAAATCTAGCAATGATCAAGACTATGTTGCCTTCTTAAAATTTAGCCTGTAACTGGTCCCAGACCACCGAGAGGAAGGCCAGAGGAAGGTCAGCAAAGCCATCCACAAGCTGGCCCTGTTGCTGACAGTTTCTTCCACAACACGAAAGGGCATCCCAGCGCTGCAGGAAGGCTGACTGCACTGTCCTTGAACTTTCCAAAATACAGTTCACACTATGAGAGGAAACGTGGAGATTTTCATTGATGGAAACCCCTCTCCTTCCTCCCCCCCAACATACCTCTCTCTCTCTATCTTTTTTTTTTTTGCCTGGGCTGGTTTTGAACTGAGCCTCCTGAGTAGCTAGGATTATAGTACCTGGCTAAAGAACTAGAAGGTAAAGGGATTTACCCAATGGGGCAAGAAAACGGAAGTCCTGGCAGGATGTGCACCCAGCCATCATGGTGTCTAGGTGGGCATTCCTGACTCCCGTGGGCCCCAGCATTATTGCAATACACCTGCAAACTAACAAAGGCAGCCTAGCACAATGCGTGATGGTCTCCTCCTCACCCCTCTCTCTGCAGGACGCTGATCTGCACACACCTCTCTGACCATGAATGGGATGGCCAACGTGAATTCTGCCAGCCGCCCCCACTATGCCTCCTCCATCCCCGTGCCCCGAGCCTCCTCCCAGACCAGGATTCATACCCCAGGGGCCTCTCCTCAGCTGCCGCCCCGCCAGGCTGGCCTGGCTCTCAGTCCTCACAGAGCAGCTTCTCCAAGGCTGGGCAAGGCTGCAGGCTCTTCCAGAAACTCCTCCCCCAAAGCCTCCCAGGGAAGAGGCTCCCCCAGAGTTGCTGCAGGACCAGTGAAGGAACTGGCTGAGGATGGCAAAAGCCTCCCTAGCTCCCCCTGGAGCAGCCCCAAGGTCACCCCGAAAGCAGCCCTGTCTAGCCACGCTGGGCCCGGAAGAACAGGGGAGACACCAGGCACCCAGAGAAAGAAGAAGAAGACCCAGGAAGGAATCGTGATCCACCAGGCCCGGGGCCGGAGCCCACCTCCAACCAGTTCCCATGGAGAAACTCCAACACCGAGGGCTCCAGAGGGTCGAAGGCCTCCTGGCTGCCCAGGGAAAGATCCAAGAGACATAAACTACAAAAGCTCTGGAGTCTCTAGGTCTTCAGAAGCAGATGAAGGAGCAGCTTCAGAGTCTTCCTCTCCCGCGTGTAGCCCTGCACACAGCAAGTGGCCCTCCTCCACCCCTGGGGTCATCAACTTCTCCTCCGTCCATCAGCAAAGTCAGCCCGTCACTGCCACCGTGGCCCCCTTCCAGTACAGGTGAGCTGAGATTGCAGCAGACAAGAGGAGTGGGGGGAAGGGGTGGGACCAGGGGACAAGGCCACAGAGGAAAGGGGCTCTGAATGATAAGTGGTAGATGGAGACCATGGAGCCGTGGGGTGTAGAGAAAAAAGAATTCAGGCAAGGGGGCAGGGAGACAGGAAGCCACTGGCATGGCCAGCTGAGGTGGAATTGGGGGACCCAAGTGCAAGCTCTAGTCTTTTTCAACTCTGAGAACTCTAGAACAAATAGGAATGCATAAGGAGGGTACCCTTGGCACTGTTGGATGTGAGATTCCAAGGAGACCACCCCTGGGTAAACTTCCACCTGCTCAGGATGAACGGAGACCCATAGTACTGTGTTGTGATTTGATTCATTTCCCCCAAACGCCACCCAAGTTCTGTGAAACACATTACGCCTTTCAACAGATCTAAAATTTTCACTTTATCACTTCAACTAAACACATTATTTTTTCCCTTGCTTCTTGGGGGCCATCTGCTTTTGGGGAGGCAGATTTTCACAAAATGAAGGGTAAGGGAACACTTAGCAGATCACACCAAGATTTAAGCACAACTGACAATAATGCAGGACTGTGGTACTGGGGCTTAAACTCAGGGCCTGGGTGCTGTTTCTTAGCTATTTTGCTCAAGGCTGGAGCTCTGCCACTTGAGCCACAGCTCTGCTTCCACCTTAAACGCAAGGGATTCTTATCTTTTTTTTTTTAAGTGGATTTTGTTATTTATTTATTTGTTTGTTTTTGTCGGTCATGGTACCTTAACTCTGGGCCTGGGTGCTGTCCCTCAGATCTTCAGCTCAAGGCTAGCACTCTACCACTTGAGGCACAGCACCATTTCTGGCTTTTTCTGCTTATGTGGTGCTGAGGAATCAAACCCAGGGCCTCATGCATGCAAGGCAAGCACTCTACCACTGAGCCATCTTCTCAGCCTGGGGATTCTTATCTCTAACCACCCAAATGCCAGAAGTGGTGCTATGGCACAAGTACTAAGGATAACACTTAGGCCCTGTGTTCAAGCCTCAGTAGCAGAGCGCATGCACACACACACACACACACACACACACACACACACACAATTCCAACAACTCTTTACTAAAATGACTAAGTTAAGTAAACTAAAATTTTAAATGACTAATTATTAAGTAATTTAGAAATGCCCACATGCAAATTAAGCTAATGCTAGGCAAAGTTCTCATCCCCATTGAGGGACCTGAAAATGCACGCATTGTCTCTTAAATACTGGTGGCTTCTGACACATCAAAGCATCTAAGTGTGGAGATAGAGAACCAGTAGGAACTTCAACTTTGCTGGAAACCTAACTGTGTGTGCCTGGATCTAGTGCAATCTTAGTTACAGCCAGAGTTTATTTACAATCCAGAACAAGAGAGTGAAGAGCACCACTATGTTCTGCTCAGGCCTTATGTAGAGCACTACACTCAGTCATGAACCCTATATCTTAAAAGGACATCAACACACCAACACACATTTAGAGAAAGACTGATGGGTTGGTGAAGGATCCAAAAGAAGTGTTACAAGAATGATTAAAAGAAGTAAAGAAGTTTGCTTTGGAAAGGGAAGGCCCAGGCGGGTCTGAGTGCTGTGCTCAAATATTTGAAAGGCTGTCATGTTATAAGATGAATTAGATTTTCTTGGTGCAGCTCCAAAGAGCTGATTCAGCGTCATGGTGGTTAGAAGTTAGCTCGAGACAGATTTGAAGCTCTGTAGGAAGAACTTTCCAACAACTAGTGAGAAGTACAAACCAACAGGAAGGCAGTGAGACTCCTGTTACTGCAGGAATTCCAGATAATAACATAGCCGAAGAGACTCTATACCCTTGGTGCTTCCTGGCTCTTCAGTCTTCCCTTCTATCTTACTGTACTATTCATGAATACACAGACGTCCCTCTCTTTCCTCCTTCCTCCTCCCTCCCTCCCTTTCTTTCTCCCTTCCTCCTTCCCTCCTTCCCTCCTTCTCTCCTTCCCTCCTTCCCTCCTTCCCTTCCTCCCTCCCTCCCTCCCTCCCTTCCTTCCTTCCTTCCTTCCTTCCTTCCTTCCTTCCTTCCTTCCTTCCTTCCTTCCTTCCTTCCTTCCTTCCTGCTTTCCCACTTGAGCCACACCTCCACTTTTGGCTTATTGCTGATTAATTGGAGATAGAAATCTCATGGATTTGTCTGCCTGGGCTGGCTTAGAACCTTGATCCTCAGATCCCAGTCTCCTGAGTAGCTAGGGTTACAGGTGTGAGCCACTAGTGCCTAGATATTCCCTTCTCTAAGGGGCAACTCACTCTAATCTCATGTGACATTTTCAACTTAGATTCTAGAGCCGATGAGAGAACTCATTTTATTATTTTTATTTTATTTTATTTTGCTACACTGGGGATGAAACCCAAGGTCTCACACAGGCTAGGTAAGCGCTCTACCACAAAGCTACATCCCCAGCCTTGACCTTCTTTTGAATGTCCTTTTTCCAATCAGTTAAATGTTTCCCTGATGACTCTCTGACTTTCTTCTCCTACCTGATTGCCTTCGCTTTGAATTCATTCTTTGGGGGGGAAAATGTATCTCAGCATTAAATTGTTTAAGATTTTACATTAGCTATACTACAACTCCCCTGGTATATTTAGAGCCTGACATTTTCCAAAGAGGTCAGAATATTTTCCTCTGAACATTTCAGTGCAACTTAAACAGAACCACATTTCCTTCATTCTGCAAACATTTATTGCATGTCTGCATGTTAAACAGAAATGGAAATGTGTCATACCATCCCAGTAGGAGGTTTTTCTCCACCACCCCACCTCCTGCACCTACTGCCTTTCAGGTTCTGGATTATGGTTGGAGGGGAACAGGTTATGGAAGATTGAGGATCTCCCCCCAAACACTGCAAACAGATGGGCTGGGGCCCTGAGCACCCTGCAGGGCAGAGAGCTGCTGCCATGGGCAACTCTGCCAGGAGCCAGGCTGGGCCACCCTTCCAGGCTTCATAGCCAAGGAGGTGCCATCTGTTGCCTGGAATCCAGACAGTCTGTTTTCGTGGAAATCTGTCCTCCACCCTGGCCCCTTGGCTTTCTGCAAAGCCCCAGGTGAATGCAGGAGCAAAGGTTCCTGGACTCGCTTGCCTATCTCCATCATGACCTCCATGTTTGACCTGTTCTCCAGGAAACCGATCTGTCCATCAATCAGCTGTTTCCCTGTCTCCCCCTCCAACCATCTCTTTTCAATGATTTAGGTATGGTCCTCCCTATGATGGCTCCTGCCATCCACTACTTCCTCTAGATGGCCCTGTTCCCAGGGCAGAAGCAGGTGCAGTGCCTCTCAAGCTGCTCTCTGGTCCTCTGGTCTCACAGGATGGCATCACAGCTTCCATTACCCCCCATGATCCTGTCACTGGGCCATGGCAGTTGTACCATAGCCTTACACTCATTTCCCCCTTTTATTAGTTGATTCCTTCCCTCGCCAGGCGAGCCTTGGGTTGGGTTCTGTTAGGAAGATATGGTTAATGGTGTCAGGAGCAGAGCATTATTGGGGTTTTCATCACTCTGGTTCAACTTTCATCTGACTTCCAGCAGGGGTGGTCCCATCCTTCCAGGCTGTGAAGTGAAACAGATATGGGAGCCTGGTTGTGTTTGAAGAGGTGGAAGCAGGTGTAGATGCCAATGCATAATGTCAGAGAATAGAGAGATAAAGAATGTGTTCCTCCATGTTCCTGGGCTAGTTTAGCCTCATGTTATCATCTACCAGCTCTGGGTTGGACACTGGGTTTAGCTTTTCACTATGTGATACAATTCAATGAAACATTTGACACATTGTATAGAATTCCTTTTCCCTGGAGGAGTATTCCGTTACTTTCTTACCATTATACTACATTTTCCCTCCCCTTTGCTTCCCTTCCCTTCCTTTAGTGCATGTACTAGGGCTTGAATTCAGGGCTTTGTCTCTTGCTCAGCTTTTTCACTCATACTTGGCACTCTACTACTTAAGTCATGCCTACAGTTCCAGTTTTTGCTGATTACTTGGAGATAAGAGTCTGGATTTGTCTGCCAAGGCTGGCTCCAAACTTTGATCCTCAGATCTCAGCCTCCTGAGTAGCTAAGATTATAGGAGTGAGCCACCTGCACCTGACCCAATTTCTTACTTCAAAAATCCAAGACCTAAGCCAGGCACCAGTGGCTCAATCCTGTAATCCTAGCTACTCAGGAGGCTGAGATCTGAGGATCACAGTTCAAAGCCAGTCCGGGCAGGAAAGTATGTGAGACTCTTATCTCCAATTAACCACTCAGAAAACTGGAAGTGGCCCTGTGGCTCAAGTGGTAGAGAACTTGCCTTGAGCTGAAGAGCTGAGGGACAGTGCCCAGGCCCAGAGTTCAAGCCCCACCACCGACCCTCCCCCTCCCTCCAAAAAATCCAAGACCATACTACTTCTTCCAAGAAACCAGCCAATTTATTTTTCCTCTGTCCCCTTGATACTTGTGTACTTGCTCAAGGTGAGAGTCTATGTCATATGGAGTATCCTAAGGAGCCAAGATGAGCTCTTCCAACTTCTCAGAGTTTATTGCATCCTGTACTGTTCATAACACTCCCTGTGAGGCATGGAACCACATGCGAATTCAGCATTGCCTGTTGACTTGGATCACAGCAACAGCCATGTTTCCTCCTGCTGCCTTAGGCTTTCAGTCTTGCCTGCGTCTCTTCCTCTTGTGTTGGAATTCTGACTCCGAGAGGGGAAGAGATTTGCTTAGGTTATAACAGATCGTAGCAATGTTGGTCCCATAGTCCCAGCCCTCTGAAAAAGCAAAACCTGGAAAGAAAGACAAATCTCAGCAGAACTGGAGGATGCCAGGGTCCCCGGTCCAGCCTGTCAAGTTTCCCTCCTGACTTCACAGCCTGCCCCTCCCCCTCCTACCAAGCTGCCAAAGGGTCCATTTAGCTGGCGACAGCGGGTAGATGGGTGGGCGGGCCAGCTCGGAGAGCCCAGGGTAATTGCCTGTAATGAGAGCTCCCACAGCCTTTGTTCCTGGGAGCGATTGTACGGTTGGGGTTGTGCACAGAGGTCTGTGTGCACTTGGAAACTGGTGCCCGGAGACCTCACCCTTCCTTCTGGTTGCCACCACCGAGCCAACATGGCCTCCTCCCAGCAGTCTCTGGGATCCAGGCTGAGCCTACCACTCCGCTTCTGACCTTCGAGTGCCCTTGAGGTGAGCAACATCAAGGAGGCCAGAACAGGCTGTGAGCACCAGGAGTCAGTGACCTCAGACTCACAGGGAGCCCTCCCCTGCATGCATGTGCTGGTCAGAACACACATGCTTGTCTGCAGGGTGAAGACCATGGCAGGCAGGGATCTGAGGCCTGCAGTTACTGGGGGATCTTGAGGGAATAAGTATGGCCACTGGCACTGGCCATCACAGTGTCCCGTGAGGCTCCTTCCTGCCCAGTTCTGCACAGAAGGCTGAAGTGGGCCTGTGTTACATATTTGTCTCACCAATAGGGGCCAGCCATTGTTCAAGAGCGGGGCAGGGAGAAATAAGTGTACTCTTTACCTGACTTATGTAACTCTAAGCCTTTGTACATCACCTTAAAAATAACAACAAAGAGCTAGTGGCTCACGCCTATCAGCTACTCAGGAGGCTGAGATCTGAGGATCATGATTCAAAGCCAGCCTGAGCAGGAAAGTCTGTGAGACTCTTATCTCCATTTAATCACAGAAAAAACCAGAAGTAGATCTGTGGCTCAAGTGATAGAGTGTCGTCAGTGCTGAGCAAAAGAAGCTCAGGGACAGTGTACAGGCCCAAGTTCAAGTTCCAGGATCAGTAAAATATCAACAACAACAACAAGGAAGAAAGAGTGTATTAGTCAATAGATAATAGGGGTGGGGAGCCCATAAGACTTCAGGGCACTTTAGAAAGAAGAATCCAGAAGGTATGTTGCCGGGTACTGGCTCATGCCTGTAATCCTATGTACTCATGAAGTTCAGATTCAGGCAGAAAAGTTCTATAAGAATCTTATTTGCTATTAAGCAGAAGTGGAATGTGGCTCAAGTGATAGAGCACCAGCCTTGAGCTAAAAGCCAATTGAAGACTGCAGGACCTGGGTTCAATCGCATTACCAGCACAGAGAAAGGAAGGAAAGAAGGAAGGAAGGAAGGAAGGAAGGAAGGAAGGAAGGAAAAGCAAGGTTATAGAGAGCTTTGAGGCCATGTGTGACCACTCCTTCTTGGCTCCACAGGTTACAGACAGACCAGGACCTAGACCCTCTCCCCCAGGGCAGCTGGGCTCTTGATGGCTACTCCAGGACCCCTGGCAGGATTGAGGGAGGCTTCTGCATTGGTAAGTGCCTTGGGGACAGACTTCTTCCTGGATGCGTCACTGTCTGGAACTGTCTTTATTGCTCTCTTCTCTTGGAAGAAGTGCACTGGATCTATAGGTCCTTTTCTTTCTTTCTTTCTTTCTTTCTTTCTTTCTTTCTTTCTTTCTTTCTTTCTTTCTTTCTTTCTTTCTTTCTTTTTCTCTCTCTCTCTTTCTTTCTCTCTCTTTCTTCCTTCCTTTCTTTCTTTTTGGAGAAAGTATGCCATACAGTTCTGTCTGGCCTCAAATTGGCTATGTAGCTCAGGCTGGTCAAACTCAAGATCCTCCTGCCTCAGCCTCCTTAGTGCTGAAGTAACAGTTGTGTATCATCACACTCAGCTTGGGTCCTTCTTTTGACAATTCACCCACCTATGAATTGCACTTGGAATGTTCTCCATGTTTGACTCAACCTAGGTTTGCGCCATTAAATCCAGGAGCTTTCAGGGTGAGGAGTGGAAAGCAATTTCTCTGCTACGTGTGTTCAGCTTGTGAGAGCCACTGGGTGTGTCAGGCCAGAACACAGAGGTGACAGTCTGTGAGGGCCAGGTTCAGTATGAAAGTGCTGGGAGCCTGGGAGGCAGTTCAGCCTGCCACCTAGATAGTTGTTGCCACTGATGGAACCATTTTGAGCAGGCTGTCCCATATGTGTCCCCTTCCTCGTGTCATCTTTGTAGCATCACATATCACCTGATACACGCAAACTGTTACCTGCCTCAGGGACCTGAGATTGACCAAGAACACTCTTGAAACTTAGGGGTAGAGACACTGCTTGTGTCAGATGCATCCTCCGGCTCTCGGAATGAATGGTTGAGGAGCAAACGAGTGAGCGCCTGTATACCATAGGGCAGGTTCCAAGTAGTCCAGGTTCTGAACTCTCAGCAGCCTGGGCATCATTGTCAGACACCTGTAATCCTAGCTCCTCAGGAGGCTGAGATTTGAGGAGCTCCATTTGAAGTCAGGTCAGGCAGGAAAGTCTGTGAGACACTTCTTTCCAAGTAACCACCAAAAAGTCTGAAGTGAAGGTGTGGCTCAAGTGGTAGAGCACCAGCCTTGAGTGAAAAAGCTAAGGGGCAGTATCTAGGGATCCTAGCAGCAGCACCAACACCCCCCACCAAAAAATAAGTGGAAAAACAAAAACAAAAAAAAGCTCTCTCAGCAGCATTTAGGGGTATGTGTTGATTTTTCCCGACACTAAAATAACATCTAGAAGCTGGCAGTAATGTACACCAGAGCCACAGCCAAATGACACCATAGGGAACCAGCTGTCCTTTAGTTACTCAGGCTGAGGGAAACTTTCCCCAGTAAAGCAATGAACTCTGTGTGTGTGTGTGTGTGTGTGTGTGTGTGTGTATGAAGTGACAGAATGGAGCTCAGGTGAAGGAACTCTGTCCCAGCTGCACGTCCCACTTGCTTTTAGAAGGTCCACGATTATTTAGAGGGTTGGTTGTGTGTTACGGTTTCATCTCAGCACCCTGCTCCCATGGGAGAAGGTGGAGCTTAGAATACAGCCTCACCCTGATACCATGTGGCACGGATGGCAGGCCATTCAGTCTTCTCTGTGTTCTGCTGGGCAGGGATCCAGGTGTCCACACTGGCCTGTTCTCTCTGGAGAGCTCAGGAACAGTGACCTCAAAGCCACTGTGACCCTAGAAAGGAGCAGCTTCACTCACTGCACAGGGCAAGGCTTATAAAGCAGGTTCCTGGAGGAGTGACTGGACATTAAAGAGTAGGCTATCTCCTCGCACAATAAGTACACACGCAGGGGACCAGGACATGGCAAGGGACAAAAGCACACCAAATTTCACTGGCACTGACAAACCATCAGAATTAGAATGTGGTAACCAGGAAACTATGTGCATCTCTATTTTTACATTTGCAGTTTTGTTAACGTAATGGCTTCCTTATGTGTGTGCTCCACATTGTCAGGCTAATGGTCTCCAGCCACCAAACCAGACACTTGGTCCTAATTATTCTCCTGTGTGCTCCATAGAAGACTTTTGCTTTTCCACATCTGGTACAGAGAGGTACTAGGAACCGCCATGCTTGTCAGCTGGAGGACCATCTCCACCAGCTAGATGTGAATGTGTCTGACAGATCATAGGTCTGGTGCTCTATGGGGCAGAAAGCCAGTGAACTCTGGAGGTGGGATTCACACAGAATAAATAATAAGCACTGGCTTTTCCAGAGTAGGGTTCATGGTGCTGTCTGCTTTGTTGCTTGCTAGTTGTCATGGTAATCTTTTTTTTTTTTTTTTTTTTTGCTGCAGATACACTGAGCTCTTTGCCTTTAGACAGATGGATGGAAGGATTTGGAATTTGTGTTTTTTGTGCTTTACCACTTGAACCACACTTCCATTCTAGCACTTTGCTGGTTATGTTGGAAATAGAGTCTCTTGGACTTTCCTGCCCAGGCTAGCTTTGAACAGTGATCTTTCAGATCTCTGCCTCTGGAGTAGCTAAGATTATAGGTGTGAGCTACCAGCTCCTAATTAGTCCCTGCTTCTTATGGAAGGAGAATTGGGTGCAGTAGAGAGTGCTACCTCATAGTTAGTGTCACCTAACTATATCATTCATAGAATCCTGCACAGTTATTGATCATGTGATTTCCATACCAAGTTTTAAGCCACAGAGTGACAGGGGGCATTGCTTCAAGGTCAAATATCCTCACTTCTAATCCATGACTGCATCCAACCACATGTGGTAAATGAGTGGGTAAGTGATCCATGGTAGGTAAATGTGGGGCTGGTGAATTCTCTGTGAGCCTGGTTTGCTTTTCTAGCTGAGGAGCAGCTACCAGTCCTTCTCTGCTCTCTTCTCCTTTGGTCTTCTCTGGCCGCCAGCCTCCCTGCATGGGGACAGAGTAGGGTCCTGCCTTACAGAGAACAAGAGAAGGCCAAAGAGCTTTCTTACTTCCTCTGTCCAGACCCTGGGAAGCACAGATTACAACTGAGACTTTATAATCTCTATATAGCAGGAAGAGAATTTCTCATGATGCCCCGCATCCATGCTGGGGTGTTGGGGATAGCTTTCATAATGTCCCAGAGATTGTCCACAGCCAGCTGTTCCAATTGCCTCTGCCTGGGGCAGATGTGAAGACATACAGGCCACAGGTGTTGGTGTGCCCTGACCCTCCCCTAGCCTTCATGGCTCTTTTGGGGAAAGCCCAGTGCTGAGCCCATCTGCTGTCACTCAGCACCAGGCCTCCAGGGCCTCCCTACAAAGGCCACCATCAGATCTTAATTTGGACAGCCAAGAAAGCCAGGGCTGGCACTGCCATGTGCCCACATGTGTGAGGCTGTGTGCAGGAAGGTCACATAGAGGTTCACACAGATTACTTATTTTTTTCCACTTCATGGCATATTTGAAGGGAGCTAAGTGGACACCACTAGGCAGGAAGTCAGCACCTCTTTTTTTCCCAGTCTCTCTCTGTCTCTGTCTCCTGTCTTTCTCTCTGACTCTCTCTCTCTCTCTGTCTTGTGTTCAGGGTCTTGAACTCAGGGCCTAGGTGCTGTTCCTTAGCTTTTTTGCTCAAGGCCAGAGCCTCATCACTTGGGCCATTGCTCTACTCTGGCTTTTTGTTGGTTAGAGATAAGAGTCTAACAGACTTTTCTGCCTAGGGCAGCTTTGAACTGCAATCTTCAGATTGCAGCCTGCTGAGTAGCTAGGATTACAGGCATGAGCCACCAGCATGCCTAGGTAGAGTTGTCATCTTAAGAAAATGTCATATTTAACTGGGTGCTGGTGGCTCATGCCTGTTACCCTAACTACTCAGAAGGCTGAGATTTGAGGATAATGGTTGGAAGTCAGCCCAGGTGGGAAAGTCTGTGAGACTCTTTATTTCTAATTAATCGCCAAAAAGCTGGAAGTGGAGCTATGGCTCTAGTGGTAGAGTGCTTGCCTTGAGCACAAAAGCACAGAGACAGAGCCCAGGCTCTGAGTGGAAGCCTCAGGATGTGTGTGTGTGAGTGTGTGTGTGTGTGTGTGTGTGTGTGTGTGTGTGCGTGCGTGTGCATGTTTGCAGACACACAGCTAGAGGGCTGTGCTAGGATTGGGGCCCAGCTTGTCTGAAGGTCATGTTCTTCTCCTGCCCTGCTGCTTCCCCTCTGCTGCCAGGACTTACCACAGTAACTGCACACTGTCCAAGCCCTACTTGTTTTCCCTAAGCCTCTGCCAAGTGGCAGGGAAAGAAACGAGGTCATGGAGCCAGGGGCCTCCCCACATTTCCCTCAACCCTGGCAGGTCCCAAGATGTCACCAGCATCTCTGTCACTCTAGACCTATGTCATTTCATGCTGAATTCACACCGCCGCATTCCCTGTCCTCTGGGGACTCTCTGGCCAAGATGAGACTGATGTTCCAGCCACCCGTGGAGAGAGGATGCACAGACGATTGACTGGAAGACAGAACAAGTTCAGGATGGAGGGTGTTTGCATGTTCTCAGGCCTGGCACAGGGCAGTGCCCTGTGGGGGCTGAGGCAGCTTCAGAGCACGGGCTTCTTTTTTGGATAATCCCACCATCCATCTGGGACAAAGTAAAGATCCAGGAGTTGGGACAAGAGGTCGTGGTGATGCTTGTGGCAGCTGTTAACGCTGATTGTAGCTTTCTGTGAGCCACACATAAAAAAAAAAGCCCATTTAATCCTTCAAACACCTCTGTGAGGGTTGGAATCTAACTCCCTCGCTAGTTTTATAGTGTTGGACTAGTTATTTAATCTCTCTGTGCCTGTTTCCTTGGTTGTAATTGGCGATAATAAGAATAGTTTCCTCCAAGGGTTTTGTGGAGAGTAAATGCACTACTATGGTTGAAGCACTTACACAGCCTGGTATGTAAGCACTGCTTAAGACATGAGCAGTACTGTTCATTATTGGGAGGAGGGGGGGGGGGTGTTACTCTCCTGTCTACTTTCCTGATGGGAAACGGTGGCACAGAGTGGGTAAGTGACTTGCCCAATGTGGTAGAGCCAGGATCTGAATCTGGGCAGCT